CGGCTCTGGGGGGCCCTGGCCGACTGCTACGTGCGCTGCGGCCACCTGGAGAAGGTGACACTGCTGTTCCCGAGGCTGGCACCCTGGGAGGGACTGGCAGCACCTGGGGGCAGACTGACACCCACGGGACAGACTGACACCCCTGTCCCTGTTCCCTGTCTGTCACCTGTGTCCCTGTCCCTCGTCTGCGTCACCTGTGTCCCTGTCCCACCCCAGGCTCGGGACGTGCAGCACGGGAGCCTGTTCAGCTCACGGTGTCCCTGTCTTTGTCCCCTGCGTCCCCAGGCCCGGGATGTGTGCGAGGAGGCCGTGCAGGCTGTGATGATCCCAGTCCCGGTCCTGACCCCGGTGTTTGTCCCGTTCCAGGCCCGGGATGTGTACGAGGAGGCCGTGCAGACGGTGATGACCGTGCGGGATTTCACGCAGGTGTTTGACAGCTACGCGCGCTTCGAGGAGAGCGTCATCGGCGCCCTGCTGGACACCCAGGCCCAGCTGGGCCGGGGCCAGGACGGTGCGTCCGGGGCACCCCAAAACCAGGGGGGAGCTGGGGGACCCCAAAAGGGCAGCTGGGGGACTAGGAGGGCATTACTGGGGACAGCTGGGTCAGGGGCAGGAGGGACAGAGAGCACCCCGGAATGGGGACACTGCAGAATAGGGGGTGGCACTGTGGAATGTCCCCCCCGTGTCCCCATACCTGTTTTGTGTCCCCTGACCCCCATGTCCCCGTGTCCCTGCAGAGGAGGTGGAGCTAGAGCTGCGCCTGGCGCGCTTCGAGCGCCTCATGGCGCGGCGGCCGCTGCTGCTCAACAGCGTGCTGCTGCGGCAGAACCCCCACAACGTCCACGAGTGGCACAAGAGGGTGGCCCTGCACCAGGGACAGCCTGACAAGGTGAGGGGACACCGGGGGAGGGTGACTGGGTGTACGGGACACTGGGGACAGTGGGTTTGGGGGGTTTGGTGGTGACACTGTAGTGACCATGGTGTCCCCCCTGTGTCCCACCGTGTCCCCCCCGTGTCCCCCCGTGTCCCAGATCATCCAGACCTTCACAGAGGCCGTCCGCACTGTGGATCCCCAGCGCGCCACCGGCCGCCCCCATGAGCTCTGGGTGGCCTTCGCCCGCTTCTACGAGGACAACGGGCAGCTGGACGATGTGAGTGACCGCTCAGACCCTGACTGACACCCCCAGAGCCGCCTGTGGTCCCCAGGCCAGGTCCACCCTATCCCCATGTCCCTGTCCCCAGGCCAGGTCCATCCTGTCGCGGGCCACGCGGGTGCGGTTCCGGCGCGTGGAGGATTTGGCCGCGGTCTGGTGTGAGTTCGGAGAGCTGGAGCTGCGCCACCAGCGACACCAGGAGGCCCTGAGGGTGCTGCGGGTGAGCAGGCACCCCAAAAATGGGGGGGAACCCCAAAAATGAGGGGGGCTGAGGACAGTGGGAACCCCCAAGGGCCACCCCTGTCCCCAGGTGGGCCATCAGGACTGGGATCTGTGTCCGGGGGGGTTCTGGGGTTTTTTGGGATGTTTTTGGGGACCCTGGTGACGCCTTTTTCCCGCAGAAAGCCACGGCGCTCCCAGCCAAACGCGCCGAGTACTTCGACAGCTCGGAGCCCGTCCAGAACCGGCTCTACAAATCCCTCAAGGTGTGGTCCATGCTGGCCGACCTGGAGGAGAGCCTGGGCACCTTCCAGGTGGGGCACAGGGACATCTGGGGACACTGGGGTGGACGGGATGACACCTGAGGACACCTGGGTGGACGTGGGGGACATTTGGGGACACTGGTGGGTATGGGGGACATCCATGTGCCCCGTCCCCCTGTGGACACCCCTGTGTCCCCATGTCCTCTTGGCCTACCCATGTCTGGGGTGTGCTGGGGGTGGCTCTGACCTCCTGTCCCCCTGTCCCTGTCCCCAGTCGACGCGTGCGGTCTATGAGCGCATCCTGGACCTGCGCATCGCCACCCCCCAGATCGTCATCAACTACGCGCTGCTGCTGGAGGAGCACGGCCGCTTCGAGGACAGCTTCAAGGTGACATGGGGACACCTGGGGACACTGCGGGGACAGCCCAGCAGAGCAGGGGAGTGGGGGCATCCAGGGGAGCAGCTGGGGACAGCTGGAGAGGATGAGGGCACCCCATGGCTGGAGGGGTTGGGTGGGACACCCTGGGAAGGTATTGGGGACACCCTGGGAAGGTGTTGGGGACACCCGTGGCTCGGAACAGCGTTCCCACAGGTGTACAAGCTGTTCCGGTGGTGACACCGTGTCCCTGTCCCCGCAGGCGTACGAGCGCGGCATCGCGCTGTTCCGGTGGCCGCACGTGGGGGACCTGTGGCTCACGTACCTGTCCAAGTTCGTGGCCCGCTACGGTGGCCGGAAGCTGGAGCGGGCACGGGACCTCTTCGAGCAGGCACTGGACG